TTGTGGCGCAAGAAGAAGACTGGGGAGGGCCTATTCGCAGCGAAGAATGAGCCAAGGCATGCCCTTGTCCAAGCCTGCTTATTAGTCTGGCTACTCCGCGGACACTGACGAGAGCCAAGCGACAGAGCTCTGCAGAGGAAAGGGAACGCAGCAGCAGACAGGCACCCTGCGGGACGACCCCGGCCGCCCAGCCGCCCCCGACCTGGGGGTCCTGCAGTTACCTCCTCCAGCTGGCGTCTGGGGGCGGGGACAGGTAGGCGGCGCTGTAGGGCGAGCTGTCGATCTAGTGGAGGCCGTTAAGGCAAAAGCAAAAACAGACAAACCAGGCTGCCTGACTTCACAGGTCAGTTCTGACGTTCACCTTGTCCCTTTCCAAAGCATTTCTTACAAAAAGATGTTAAAGGTGGTGGTAAAGAGGTGTTAAAGGGACCAGTTGGGGGTGCTCACCTTGCGGTCTGTGTGGGTCCTAATGCCCCAGTATAGTGACGGGAACACCATAGTGTAAAAAAGGTTTTTTAAAAAAAAGAGTAGAGATGTTACCCCAGTGTCCTGGCCAAATGTCCCCCTGGCCTTTACCCATCATGGCCTCCTAATAATCCCCCTCTCTGAACTGGCTTCATCACTCTGCTCTCCTCCCCACTGAGAGCTGGTGTGTGGGGAGTGTACTGGCGCCTCATCCAGGTGGGGCTGCACACTGGTGGTGCTGGAGGGGATCCCCATGACCTGTAAAGCGCTTGGAGTGGAGTGTCCAGAAAAGCGCTATATAAGCAGAACGCTCATTAGTCATTAAAAGCATCTGGACCATTCCTGGAAAGTGGCTTAAGGTGACTAATTTCCCCTGTGCCAGTTTAAACAGCACAAGGGAGGGAGATTCTTCCCTTCCACCGAGTGAAAATGACATTGAAACAATTTTTACAGCCCTTCTCTCTTCCCAGACGATTTCCAACACGGCAGCGATGCAGTCCTCCGCAATCGGCACTGGAATCGTTCTCCACAGGGTGCCGAGCCACGTCATCACAGCCAAGAGCGGCGTCTGTTTTCAGAGAAGGCTGGATCACTGTGCTGTGCAGGCAACAACCAGAAGAGAGCCCCACACACACGATACGCGTCTCTTTTGATCTAAATGTTCAGCTACAGCCACGTTCAGCAGGAAGAAGGTGTCTGACCGACATTCGCGAAGGAGGTCAGACGGAACAGCATGCTGAGGCCACCAGAGATGAGCCCCCGCCCCCTCCCTCCCTTTCCCCAGGCTGGCGGGTGTGAAGGATACTTGGCGGCGGTAATGGCGCAGGGGTGACATGAACCTCCTGTCCCTCTGCACCCTCTCCACCAGGCCGTGGTGCCGCGTGCCGCGGGAGGAGTCCAGCGACGAGAGGAACGGCCCCTGTGAGACGGAGAGAGAGAGAGAGAAACAGGCCAGGGGTGGACGGGGGCGTCACGAGCAGAACTGGCCGAGCTCAGCCCCCAGCCCGCCGGGCTGACCACCTGCGAGAGGCCCTCGATGCCCACTGTCCACTGACACCCCACCCGGACAGACTCTCAGCAGATCACATCTCTCACGTCTCTCTTTCGGCTGCTCTTGTGAAATACGAACCCGCAGATCCAGGACCAGTGTTGGAGAGGATATCCCCGTACATGTGCAGAGGTTCTTTTCGAAGAAGGGCGTTTTTAATTTGAGTATAACGTCAATTCCCCGAAAAATAGCATTTTTTTCCTTAAATGTTGAAATGCAGCTTTTTTTTTTTTACATTTAAGACCCTTCCCACGTGCGCACAGTCAGCTTCGATGTTCTCACGGTTCGGATAACTCTCCGATCGCTGTGGGGAGGGCGTGACGCCCTGCCACAACCGGTAAAGCCTCCCAGCTCCAGCTCCAGGGTCGATTTGGGGCGCCGGGGCACCTGTCTGTGTGGAGTTTGCACGTTCTCCCC